ATTGTAATATATTTTCTATTATAAGAAGTTGTGTTGTACCAATTACTGGTTGAATATCAATAATCATCATTCAAAAATATTGTGTTCTGCAGATTATGTATGTATATACTCTGTACATATATTAATGAAATACTCATACAGAATGAAATCACAGGACACATCCACAAATAAAACTATAACATTACCCTATATTATTTAATAAACAGACCAGCACAAGAATATACTATATATACCACCAACATATTTATTTACATGAACGGCAAGCACCACGGCCAGCGTGAAAAGCAACTCATCGAGACATACATAACCTAAGCAATAATATTGTTATATTATATTGTTAGTGAAGTGAGTGGATGTGGATTAATAACACTGTAGCTACCTGGCGCGATTGAAACATTCCATTATAGTTAATTTAATATATATGTAGTTAGTTACTGACTTTTCATCACGGTGACAGGAGGGAGATATGTGTGTTGTGTTGGCTGAAGCTGTGTCCTGTGGTTGCAGCATCTGGTACTTGAACTTATTACGATGGTCGCTCTCCGATTGCGGCAGGCGGCAGGCGGCAGGACCTTAAAGAAATTATATCAAATTCCAAGAAGCAAACTCACATCATTTTTTGGCTTTAATAGCACTGAATGAATAAGAGTAGTTCATCAAGAGTTCAAGAACAGCTTGCGTAACAAACAAACAAACAAAACAAGCTTGGGATGCACTGTCTGGCATATCAATGTACACATATATGAGGAAACAGTTATAAAAAAGTGATGCAAAAATCATATAACCCCTATAAGCTTGCATTTTGTGACAAACACCAAACAAATCTTGCACAATTTATGTTATGAAGCAAATAAATTGTATTCTATGCACTCAGAAGGCACTTAGTATTTATATAGCGTTGCATTTTAAAAGAAGACGTGAAACAGTTAAAATAAAATGTCTACCTAGGCGTCACCTAGGTGTAGATTTTTCCTTTTCATCTCATCATCAGGATCAGTAGCTGTGATACGAGGAGGACATTTCTTGTTTTCACATCGACATGCATATGTGGACATGTAAGCACAAACGAATACAGTACTTAGTATATATTATTCATTAACAAACAAAAAAAAAACATTCACATGGCGACCGACTCGCGCGCACACTCACTCACTCACTTGACAGTCACAGACCAACGACATTTTTTTTGTTTCTTCTATACTACATACATATGTATACTCTGTCCTCTGTCTGTTGAGTCGGACGACGATTGATGGCTCGGCGTAAAGTTCTTTTGCCAAAGTTAAATACTAAAAACTAAAAGAGGTAAACAATCACATTACACATATGTATGTATTTTATATTGATAATTATATCTAAATCGTAATTTGAAATACATTTTTCGTACCATAAACCATTTATTGATCTGTGTTATTTAGTTTATTGCACAAAACAAAAAAAAAAAAAAAAATGTATCATATCATAGACAATACACTTTATATGAGATTATAAGAAATTTAACATTATTTTAGTGGTACAACTGTAATTATTACATTACAGTTGTACCACTAAAACAATGTTAAATTAAATATAAATAAAAAAAGAAAGAGAAAGAAAACAACTCTTTTTGCAATTATTTTTGAAGTAAATGCACTGATTCATCGATTCGTCTATAATTATCGATTTGCATTACGTGTCCACATTTTCATGAATTATGTAAATACATAAAAAATAATCAATAAGTACCATAAACTATTTATTGATCTGTACTTTGTTGGTTTAGTTTATGGCACAAAAAAATGTATGTATCATATCATAGAGAACGAAAGATGACATAAGAAGACAATTAACACATTCTTGTGGTGGTACAACTGTAATGTAATTAAAATATGGTGAAAACAAAAAAAAAAAGAAAGAGATAGAAAACAACGGTTGGTTGTTCCAATTACTTTTGAAATAAATGCATCGATTTGTTGATAATTATCGATAATTAAGAGCCTATTTATATGTTGCGAATTAAAAAAGTCAACAAGTAAAAAAAAAAAGTGTTGCCATTCTCTATTAAATTATTGTATTTTGTTAAGAACTCTGTTGTCTGTTCATCAATACATTTGATTGATTTATTTTTTTATTGTATTCTATTGTACCGCATTTTTTGAGATGTTTTTTTTTTAGATTACTTAATATTAGATTGAAACGATATCGTATACTGGCAATTTTGCTCGCTGTGTGGACAGTGTTGCCATTCTCTATTAAATGAATGTATTTGGTTAATAACTCTTTAGTTCACATAAGGAAAATATATAATATATTTGAATTTTACGTTCCTTGTCGTCTCTAAAACATTAGAAAATAAAAGATTGTTATATTTTTGAGCTGTTTTTTTTTTTTAATTACTTAATATTAGCAGTGGGCTGATAAAATGGCATAGTAGCCATTTTTAGTTCGAAAAACGGATTTAGATGGCGTCATTGGTATCGAATGGAATTCAACATTGTTTTGTAATCGTTTAAAACCCAAA